AAAAAAATAGTTTTAAACAATTCTTTTTATTTTAAATTTTTCCAAAAAATTCTGCAAAATTAGTAATAAATTAATAAAAAAGGAAAAATATAAAAAATAAAATAAAATTAACACCGAAAATTCACTAATAAATATAGTAACATCAAATCCAACAATTTTTATAAATTTTAATTTTTAAAAATGTGACCTAAAAATAAAAAATCGTAAAAATAAATACATAAAAAAAATGAATAAAAGTTGGAAGATATGAAATTGCTCGAAAACACTTCTCAACATGTGAAACTAATGATATAGTACATATTTGTACAAATGACAGATGTTTCAACATCGTATGAATCGTAAAAGTAAAGATGTTTGGTACGACCAAACCATGTGAGGCGAAAACGTTGAGAATATATGATGGAAAATAGATAAGTATGTTATTATGTATGAAGGGCGTTTCACAATCTTTTTATTTTCGTACGGCATGGGTATACGCATGTTGTCGACTAGACCTCGACAATGTCATCACGTGCGATGTTACTCGTCTAACGAGTGTAAACCACAGACGATGCGGGTAGGCCACGTCCAATGTCGGCTGACCGATGTGTGCACGCCACGGGCGCTGCGGCCAGGCCAAGTCTGACGTTGGCAAACCAGTGTGTGCAGGACACGGACGACGCTGGCAGGCCAAGTACGACGTCGGCAGACCAATGTGTGCAAGCCACGGAAGATGCAGGCAGGCCAGTCCGACGTAGGTTGATCATTGTGTTCTGACCACGGACAATGGGGGAAGGCCACATCCGACATCTGCTGATTGATATAGGCAGGACACGATCGACGTTGGCAAACCGGTGTGTGCAGGACACGGTTGATTTTGGCAGGCCACGTGCGACGTCTGCTGACCGATGTGTGCAGGCCACGGATAATGCTGGTAGTCCACGGCCGACGTCGGTTGACCATTGTGTGCAAGCCACGGATGATGCGGGTAGGCCAAACTAAGCCTTCAACACATTGCAAACAACCCCCAAAACAATCCTCAAAAATCAGTCCCTTGTGACCTACGTATGGCCATTTACGACCAGTAGGTTGAGTGACGACCCGTAGGTCAAGGTCATGGTTCCATACTTAGATTTTTTTAGGAGCCTGCAACATTTAGAGTTGCATACCCAAACCACAGAAGCAATCCACTTTCAGTAACTCAACCTACGGTCGTTAGGTGGAGGCGGCGTAGGTGCTGCCAGATTTGGCAGTTTTTAATTAAGTTGAGGGTTAGTGTTTTGGTTAGTTAATTAAGTAGGGGTTAAGGGAGGTAGGTTAGGAGGTTAATTAATGACGTATATAAACTTATAGGACCCTAAACTAATTCATTAATTCACCACAAGTCAAGACCCCAAATCAAAAACCCAATTCCCATTCCCTTCCAATTTTTTTTCTCCAAGAATACCATTGAAGAAACCAACCTAGGGGCTTGAATATGGAGGTTTTATCTTAGTATTTTCTTGGTTTTCTACACCTAAGGTATGGTGGTTTTCATCCATGGGTAGCTATCACCCATGGAGCCCTCTCAAAAGCTTTCAATTCAAATTCTAGAAATCTTCAAAAGCTAGGGTTTCAACTCAAACCCATGGATTCCTTTCAAAGTTGTTCTAAAAGATTGATTTACATTTGTTATGGATCGTGATGGATTATATTACTGATTTAAGATGATTTTAACTTC